AACTATAAATGGAGAAAAAATATGGGCAACAAAGGAGAGGAAAACAGACCTGACAGCCTTAATATTTATAGAACTCCTGAAAATAAATAACAAAGAGAAGCACCCCAACAGAAAAACATCCAAAGACGGATCATTCATGAAGGACAAACGTGGCCGATAATACACATTAGAAATGCAATATGGGACCCATACGTTAAAACCACAAAGTCAGTGCAAAGGTCAGACTGTCAGGGATTAAGAAAGAACTTTTGCCAAAAAATTAAAATTGAATCTGATCAAGCATCTGGATCAACAGCAACTATAGTAAACACCAAGATCTCAGTTCCCCGACCAGGACCCGAGGCAAGCTGCTGTTGCTGCTCAGTTGCTGAGTTGCGCTGACTCTTTGCCACCCCATGAACTGCAGCTTACCAGCACCCCTGTCCTTCACCATCAGCGATGCCATCCAGCCACCTCATCATCTGTCCCCCCTTCTCCTCCTGCCCTCAATCTTCCCCAGCATCAGGGTCTTTTCCAATGAGTCGGCTCCTCGCATCAGGCGGCCAAAGGATTGGAGCTTCAGCTTCAGCATCAGTCCTTCCAATGAATATTCAAGGTTTATTTCCTTTAGGACTGACTGGTTTGATCTCCTTGGTGTCCAAAGGAGTCTGAAGAGTCTTTTCCAGCACCACAGCTCGAAAGCATCAGTTCTTTGGTGCTCAGCTTTCTCATGGTCCAATTAGCACATCTGTACATGACTTCTGGAAAAACCATAGCTTTGACTACACAGACCTTTGTTGGCAAAGTGATGTCTCTGCTTTTTAATACACTGTCTAGCGGTGACAGGTTTTCTTTTGTGTCCAAAATCACTGTGGATGGTGACTGCAGCCATGAAATTAGAAGACGCTCTTTGGAAGGAAAGAAGCAAGGACAAACCTAGACAACCCAGACAAAGGTGAGAGCAGTAGGTAAAACTTGGGAGATGCAAAGAGGAACATTTTGACACAGACTGTATGAACAAACTAGCTTCTTGAAAATTCACTGCATAGGAGTAAAGGGGGAGGAAGGAGACCCCTAGATCAGAGACTCAGGACAGATCAGCCAGTCTGGTACATGGACCCTGCCTGCATCCAACTCAAACACATCGTGAAAAACCAAACAAAATGAAAACAACCATCTATGAAATTGAAGAGGCAGAGGGATCTGATCAAAGACTAGAGATTTCATAAATAAGGAATTATTGTAAATTTTGTTTGAGGGCTGACTATTGTATTGTGGTTATGCTTTTTATGCTGCTTCTTTGGGAGGGCAGATGGAAATAATTATAGCGGAACTAGTATTATGGCTAGAATCTGCTCCCAGGGCACAGGTTGGTGGAGGAGGCGGGCAGGACTGGCCACGGTGACCTTTGTTGGAGAAGGTCAAAGGCTACAGGGTCCTTGTACTATTGGTTCTGCCTACTTTCCTGTGTGTTCAAGATGTTCCAAGTTAGTAATAATAATAAAAAGTGTGGATTCTATTCGGTGTTGAATGGGAAGGGACATGGGACCACCTTTCCAAATGGCAGAAAATCTGAGTATACCCGCAGACCCAGCAGCACAACTTCTAGAATCTTCTCTTACAAATATAATTGAAAGACCTTATAAAACTCTATCTGTAAGACTATTTATCCAGTAATTTTTGTAACAGGTAGATGAAAAAAAGAATGAATGAATGAAAAGAACATAAATTCACACTAGGGAGTGAGTGGACAAACACACTGCGTTTCCAGTCAGTGGAGTTAATACCGTGCAGCATCCTAACCCAACCTTCTTTTTCCTTTTTTGCCTCGATGCATAGCCTGCAGGATCTCAGTTCCCCGACCAGGGACAGGCCACGGCAGTCAGAGCACCAAATCCTAACTACGGAACTCCCTAGGCTGATCTTTAGAATGACAGCTTAAACACGCGCTGACATGAGAAGATGTCCATGACGGTAACATCCAGAGGACAGGCTGGTACGTGTGTATGCTCACACAGAAGTTTTGTTAAGATACACATTGAAATGTGAGCATCAGTTATCCCTGTGTAATATTTTTATACTTTTATATTCATATTTCATTTCTACTTATCTATGGGAATTTGAGGTATCTTTGTGCTTTATTTATTTATTTTTTTTGGCTGAGCCGCATGGCATGTGGGATCTTAGTTCCTTGACCAGGAATCAAACCCACACCCCCTGCACTGGAAGCGTGGAGTGTTAACCACTGGGCTGCCAGGTAAGTTCCATGGTAACACTGGTGGAATATGTGTAAAAAACAAAATTGAAGATTAAACTACATTTTAAAAGGAGGCAAAACAGGTAAGTCCCATGGTAACACTGGTGGAATATGTGTAAAAAACAAAACTGAAGATTAAACTACATCTTAAAAGGAGGCAAAACATTTCAAGTGATGCTAATATGTCTGTGAAAACCATTTACCATGTTTCTGAATTTTCTGAGAATTTTGTAAGTTGTTTCAAGGTTCATAAACCATTATAAACTTATTTTGTGAAATGATAAAATGTATGTATTGATATTTTCGTCTCTACACAAAAAGCAACGACAGATCATGTTTAAAGAATGCATGGAAAATTTAATGGGTATCAACTTACGTGTAAGTGTATTTAATACACACACACACAAATGCCTGGTCTGTTTCCTTGGGGTGTTCCTCTTTTTTTGGCAAGAACACAGAGATGGAGCCCTTTAAAGGTATAATCACATTTCACACTTGTCCCGGGTGTGTCAAAACCCAGTTTCATGGAATCTGTGCAGGTTTTGCATGTTGCCTGATCTGTTTCGGTACCTGTGGAGCTGACAGATTGAGATGCCGAGAGAGGGGGTCCCTGTGTGAGGTCTCTGGGCCGTGGGTCCGCTCCTGCCTCTCGCAGCTCCTCACGTCTACACAGGACAGAGCGGCTCCCTGATGCTTACCTATGCCCTTAGAGCCAGCCTTTCCCGACCGATGGCAGTTAGAGCCAAGAAGATAACGCACTTTTTTGAAATAACATGTTTTACAAGTTTTACTTAATTTTAAACATTTATTGGCTGCACCCTTCAGCACGTGGAAACCTTGTTCCCTGACCAGGGACCAAATCCACACCCACTGCATTGGAAGGGGGAGACTTAACCACTGGGCCACCAGGGAGGGCCCCCTGCCACCTTTTAAAACAACAGCTTCCCACAGTGACATGGGAGCCTGTTCGCTCGGTAACATTGGTGGAAATAAAGAAGTCCGTATCCAGAGGAGGCGCCCCCAGCAAGCCCAGGGTGGACACGCGGGGTGGGGATGGGCTGTTTTCCTCCCTTCTGTTCTACATGAACAAGTATATTTTTATAATCATAAAAATGCCAATTAAGAAAGTTTTACCAAAACATCCTCTCCCCCGATCCATTTCAGGCTGCAGGGCCCAGAAGGAAGCGGGCCGGTGGAAGAGATGGGGATGATTAGGGGGCGAATCTGGAGCCAGGCGAAGGCCAGGCCAGGAGGACAGAATGCCCACAGGTTACCCCGCCAGGCTTTCTGTGCCTGGGGTCTCTGTGGGCGGGAAGGCCAGATGGTGGGCTCCGAGGGGCACAGGGAAGGTTCCGGAAGCCTAGACCCTCGGCGCGCTCCGCTGCAGGCCTGTTCTGAGCTGACAGAGAATGGAGGCCATGTCCCGTAGGCCCCACCAGCTCTGCCATGCTCTCCTTCCAGCCTGAGAACTGCAGGAGTTCGGGATAAAGCTGCTGGCTCCCACATGCCGGCTGTCTTTAATGCACCCCTCTCGTCGGATTCACGCTGTTAGGTCTCCTCGTGTGCGGCTTTCCCATAGAAGACCAACCGCTCTGGCCTCAGAAGGGCCGTGGGGCAGGGGTCGGATTCCTAGCAGAGGGCAGGCCTCGTGTACTCAGGTCTCACATAGTGACACACGGGGAGGGAGCAGGTGCCCAGCAGCGGCCAGGCCTCGTGTACTCAGGTCTCATGCTAATAACAGCCCCTGGGTCCTCAGACCCTTGCATACTCGAGAGTGAGGCGGAGGCGCTGGCGGGCGTGGGGAGGTGAGTCCTGACCCATGTCCGCCTGGCCCTGCCGCAGGGGTGGCTGTCCTGCACTAGGCCGGGCGCTGCGTGGGGGCTTCTTCTCCCCCGAAAGCTTTCAGTCCACATAAACGGCTGGGGTGACCTGTGTGCCACCTCAGTGACCAAACACTCGCTGTGCCTACGTGGACACCCCTTCTCCCCATGGATCTGGGAGGAAAGGAAGAGCTTATACACAAAACACCAGGTTGGGATCTAAGCATCTTCATGTTTTCCAGACAAATGAAGGTGTCGATCTCATTTGAGAAGAGAGAAGTAAATTAACACTCCTAAAAGAATGTCTTTTTATGGTCTCAAACCTCAGCTCCTTCTCTCATGCGGCCTGGACGTTTCTCCATTGGTCACAGCTCTGCAAGCTTATTTGGGGTTCACTGTCCAGTGGCTCCAAAAATGGTGGGAGCAGAAAATGCTTTCCGTCCTGCAGCCTGGCAGTGCCCTGTGATTGCAGGTAATCCATCCTACAGACGCTGTTGCGTTCATTTCCTTTCTGCACCCTGTCTTCTGGCCTCGTCCGTCCAGCCTGAACCTCTCGCCCATGACTGCACACCACGATTGCCTACGGATCAGGCTCTTCTGAACGTGGATGCTGCGGGCCGGCTGGTGGCAGAAGACACGGTCACACGGACAGCCAGGGGAAACACGGAGGGCTGGGCTTCTGTCTGCCGCAGCCCTAGGAGGGGAGAGGACCTGTGAACAAGCTGCTACCCGGGGTTTTGCTGGGACCCGTCTCAAGATGACAAGGGCATCCTGGGAACTCGCCAGTCTCTACCGTCAGACCAGACACTGAAACCTGAGAGAAGATGAGAAACCCCCACTTTAATATAAAAGTGGTCTTGCGCCTGGTAACTTCAGTTGGGGAAATCACACAGAACAGACTCGATGCTAACATTTAGTAAAATTCGGTGTAAGATTATAAAACATTTTCAATATAAAAATAAGACTTTTAATTAAAAAAGAGCACATGAGCAGCTCTGGATACACCCTCGAAACAACAGCAAAGTACGGAGTGGGGCTTTACATCTGGGTGCGGACTCTCAAACCTCACAGGGAGCTGACGCTGGACACTTTCAACGTTTAAATAAAGCCGTTGATCTTCCCCAGCAGGCTGCACTGGAAAGGCAGCTTCGGGAGTGAGGTCTGGAGGCTCTTTGGCTCTGGAGTGAGGAGGTGGGACCTCGGAACAGGAGGCGCCAGGTCCACCTGGGGAGTACGTCTCTGGTGCACGAGGGCTCGAAACCATGACCGGGACCTTCCTCTCCCAGCACGTTCTTCTACCGATCTTCCGTGTGGTTAAAATGTCCCTACAACGAGAAAACAGTGCGTCGTGGGAATGAACCTACCTTGGCTTCAGGTTCACAACACAGAGCTCTGCCTTTCAAACGGCTGCGCTAACACACATTCTGAGCTAAGCACGTACTTACAGAGCATATATAGAATACTATAATTAAGATATTTGAAGCACTTCCTACAGTGCTTGGCACATAGAATGTTCTCCATAAATGTTATTTCTCTTCTCTCCTACGGTTCTGTGAGAGAGGAAAAAAGAGAATCAAAGTATCATTTATAAACTCATAGTTTAGTTTTTTTAATACTGAATATAGATTCAGCACAAGTGCGCTGCAGCAGGCTCCTCGCAGGGGGCCCAGGGCTGGAAGTAACCCAGCTTCACGAAGTTCCCACTCAGGCCTGGCCTCCTTGCTCCTGGAGCAGACCTCCTGTCTCCTCAGCTTCATGCAGAAGTGACTGAGATGTGCCACTGTGCCACCCCACTGCACCCCTGTCTGGATGGGCTTTATCTGGAGACACACTGGAGGCAGAACAAATAAGACGGGGACAACTAGGCACACAGACACCTCCAAAAGAGGACCAAAACCTCAAATCTTCTACACAGAAGACCTGCAGGAATCACTCACTTAAACCTCTCACCAATCTCTGTTCCCTGACATGACTTCAAGTTTCCAAATCATCACGTTTTTCTCCCCAGGGTCGTTTGTTGACATCCCTCTCAAAGCTCAGACCTCTGTCCCTGATGCAGAAGTGAGGTCTGATGTCCTCAGACTCTGAGGTGGCCACTGGCAGGGACCAGCCACTGGAGGCGCGTCTGATGGGGGGTCTGGGCACCGAGCCCCTGACTTAATAAAGTCCTGAAGGAAGAGGACAGCTGTGCCTTAAACGCTAGTCTCACTGTCGACAATCAGAATGCCCACTGCCTGTCTGAGGAGGCTGGAAAAGTGATATCAGAAGCAATAGAGGGAAATACAACACTTTTGATAAAACACAATTTCACTATTTTTCCACCAACCAAGAGAAGAGTGTTTTTTTTCAAGACAGTTTTGTTTTGTTTCTAATACTGGGATCAAAAGAGACTCAGGTCCAAAGAGACACCTAGGTACATCAGAATAACACTGTCAAAAACCAAATAGTCTTCAATGCAGAAAGAAAGAAATGCTACTTAAGTTAAACAGATCGTCGATAAAATTAACAGCTGATTTCTCAGCCCAATTCAGAGTGCTGAAAGTCAACCAAGAATTTTGTATCCAACAGAACTATCCTTCAAAAATGAGAAATTGACACTCCCAGATGAACAAAAACAGAAAAAAATCTGTCACTAGCAGACCTACCCTACAAGAAATACTGATGAGACCCTCCGGTTAAAATTAAAGGACCTTAGATCATAGCTCAAGTCCACAAGAAGCCATGAAAACGGCATTTCCCCTGATTGTTACCTATGAGCCCCTCCTCCACTCAAGCTGTCTCACTTTAGCAGCACTCTCTCTGCCTTGGGTCGCAGCTTCTGAAGGACGTCCTCTGGCTGCATCTCTCTGTGGGCGCCCCCCCGCCCCCCATAGGTCCTGTCCCCTGGCTGGGAGCGCCTCCCTGCCAGATGCCTGCTCCTGAGATCAGAGCCCAGCTCTGGCACGCTTGCTGCAGGCTGAAAGGTGCACCGTGGGCAGGTGGGAGCAGGAACGTGGACGGGAAAGGACGCATCTGTGTGCTTGAGCTTAAGGCCTCCTGGCAGTCAGGACAGGGCCTGGGCTGGGAGCAGGGTGGGCCAGGGGCCAGCTTTCCCTCACTGCACCAGGTCCCAGCATGGAGCTCTGAGAAAGTCCACAACCCTCTATTTGAACCTGGCCTTCCACCTTGTTATGAAGGACTGTTTGTCAGTGCAAGTCTGCAGCAGTGGAGGAGCATGGACCACACACCAGGGAAAAAGAAGACTGGATGCCCGAGGTCAGGTTCTGCCTCCGTCCCAGACGGTCCTGACGCTCCCTGGTGCTGGACTGCGTCCCAGCCCAGCCCACAGAGAGCCTTCTGGGGTGGAAGTGGAAGGTGGGGACAGAGCTTGTACTCATCAGCGCCCAGCAGCAGCTTCTGGTGAGCAGCTCAGAACAGCAGCCAGCACGCTGTTTCCAGTCAGTCTCCTCCCGAGCATGTCCAAAGGGATCAAGTCCGGGAACCGATGCATCTCGACCAGGGACAGGACACGTGGGTGGCACGGGAGCCAGGGGGAGGTGGGCAAAAGCAAGGTGACACCCCGTGACCGTCCCTGCTCCTCGGAGGCTGAGTCAGGGGCTCACGCCGGGAGGGAAGACGCAGCCCTGGCCCAGGCCCAGGCTTCTGAGGGGCGGGGGGCCCCCGCCACAGTGCTGTGACAGGACAACGCTCCTGCCCCCGACACGCAAGGATCACGAGCTTCACAGAGGAGCTGTGGACAAATGGCAACTTTAAAAATAGGGTGTAAGGATGCATGTATATTCCAGCAAAAGCCTTGAGTTTAAAACTAAAAAAAAAAAACTGTATGCACAGCTTTCCTGGACTTCCAAAGCAGGCACGGAGGACACTCTCCAAAATCCACTCAGGCTGTTCTCATACATAAATTTGCGTTCTCTCAAACTCACTACCGTGGGCTACAAGGGAGGGACTGCCTGTCTCCTCAGCAGGGATGCTGACCCTTAAGAGGTCTGAGGAACCTGCTCTGCACAGTCTGAGGGGCTTAAAGGGCCCACCTACCCACTGCTGCTGCTACTGCTTTTAAAACAGATTCCTGTTGATGTTTTCATTTTTACCTTTTGACTCCCTTCACCAATTTCTCCCACCCCTCACGCACCATCTCTGGCAACCACCAATCTGTTCTATGAGCTTTTCTTGTTTTTTAGGGTTCCATGTATAAGACATTATCTGTCTTTTTCTGTCTGACCCATTTCATTTAGCACAATGCCCCCAGATGCTATCCATGTTGCTGGAAATGGTGGCATCTCCCTCTTTTATGGCTGAATAATATTTCACTGGATAAAGAGCACAATTTCTTTATCTCCTCGTCCATCCTATTTTTGCTAGCTCATCTTATGGTCAACAATCTTGCTGAATATCATTTTTAGTAGTTTATCTGCAGATTTGCTTGGATTTTCTATGTAGATGATATCAGGAAATAACAATTTAGTTTTGTTCCCCTTCTAATTCTTATGCCATGTTTCTTCTTCCTTGTTTAGTTGTCTGAGTTAGAAACCCTGCCAAGCAGAAGTGGTGATGGCAAACAAACTGTTTCTCTCTTCATCCAAAGAAACGCTCCCCCTAAGTGCGGAGACCTTTCAACCTCACCAGGATAAACCCTCATTTCTGGTTTTATCTTGAGTGGGATTTGGAGTAACTGAGCAGTTTCTGCCTCTATTAAGATGACAGTTTGATTTCTTTTTTTCCTCCTTTGATCAAATAATGTAGTTCTTTTTCTAAAGAAAGTCATCTGTACGTTCCTTTATGTAGAATTTCTTTTAACCTATAAAACTATCTGGGATGGTAGCTTTTGAGAATGTTCCCAAATTATTCCACTGGGATTCTCTCTTCTGGAGTTAGTTCTGGCAACTGAATTACTATGAGGGCAAGGGAATTCCCACTGCACTGGTCTCCCCAGCTCTGAGCGTGTCACAGATGCACGTTCATACAGGACAGTCCCTTTAGCGTTGCAGAGCGTTATTCCACGGTCCTTGGTGTCTGTAACTAATGGGGGGTCTGCTGTTACTCAAAGCACTGTTCCTTCACGGCCATCAGTGGTTCCTCTCCGGCAGCTCTCCAGAATTCTCTTTCACATTGTTCAGTTTCACCATGATACATCAGACGTACAGATACATCAGGTGCAAGACTCACCAGGACTTTACAGGAATACAAAAAAATATAGACAGCAATATAACAAATATCCACAAACCATTACATAGCTTACGAGACAAAATGCCACAGGTAAAACATCATCCATTCTCACTGAAGTGTATATTTACTGAATAAATACATGCCGATCCACTTATGGTGGCTCAGTGGGTAAAGAATCTGCCTGCAATGCAAGAGACCCAGGTTTGATCCCTGGGTGGGGAAGATCCCCTGGAGAAGGAAACGGCAACCCACCCCAGTATTCTTTCCTGAAGAATCCCATGGACAGAGGAGCCTGGCGGGCTATGGTCCACAGGGTCGCAGACTCAGACAGGACTGAGCGACTGAGCCACGTGTCCATTCTCCTGCAGTGGTCTCGAGCTTTCTGCTAAGCAAGCAGTGCTGCGGGTGTTCTGTACACATCTCTGCGAGCCCACTCTAGGACCAAACCCAGCAAAAGCTGGGCCCTGACAGCAGCCCCAGCAGAGTGTGTCTCTATCTACTGTCTGCCTCTCTCTCCACTTGTAATACGATTAACAATGCATTTAATGTCTTTTTCTGTACCATACATTAGTTTAGTCCAACATGCTCGTGAGAAATCTAAACTCCATTTTTTTTTTAAATTAGCTTTTCTGCAAAAATCCGTTTCACTGTCTCCTCATGGTATATTTTATCCCCATAGAAAGACGTTTTAGTTTTATTGTTTAGTCACCTGAAAGCTCTCTATTCCTTCAGAACCTGAAATGATCTCAACAACACAGTAAAAAAAATTTTTTTTAAACTAATTCTCTGGCATCCATATTTGGAGGAAACGTTTACTGTCAGAGATTACACCAGAAGATTCTGTCAGGAAGTCTACACAAACTTGTCTATTTGGCTACACTTACACAGCCAGACCCCTCCTTGGCCGCCTGCTGGACTCAGCGCTGTCTTGGACGCCCACGACGCCCTCACGGGTCGGGGAAGGACGCCCACGACGCCCTCACGGTTCGGGGTAGGACGCCCACGACGCCCTCACGGGTCGGGGAAGGACGCCCACGACGCCCTCACGGGTCGGGGAAGGACGCCCACGACGCCCTCACGGGTCGGGGAAGGACGCCCACGACGCCCTCACGGGTCGGGGTAGGACGCCCACGACGCCCTCACGGGTCGGGGAAGGACG